GATGGAAAGGAAGAGTGGGCAGTCACAATATGGGGAGAGTAATTAGAGTCACATAACAATGTATGTATAAATTTTTGCATGAGAAAAAATAAAAAAAAAACTCATCAAAGTAATGTTCTAAAAAGAAAAGTAGGAGTCTACTCGTTCCTCCATTTTGGGCAGGAAATGCTGAGACTCAGGGGGATGCATGGACACTCAGATACTATACTTGGCCTCTGGTCAGGGAGCAATGAAGGCAGAGGGGAGCAAGAGGAGAACCTAACCATTGAGGCTGGGTCATGAAGTCTCAGTTCTAGGGAGGAAGTCCCCATTCTTTGCCTTTGTTGAAGCTGTCCAGATTCAGGGATTAAGACAGCAATGTGCCCGCACATGGTGGGCTCCAGGAGCCACCACCATGAGCAGGTAGAGAAGCAAAGGCCAGGAAATGAGGCAAGAGGTTGATTTTCTTTAAACCCTCTCATTTCCTGAAACTGAATATGAATGACACATTTGGTATAAAAAATCTGATGAAAAGCCCTAGGTCATCAACATATTGTGTCCTCATAAATAATCCCAAAGGAGGAGTTTGAAAGATTGCCTGGTCCAACTCTGTACCTTCAGGCAAGATCTCACTTCCAAGAAGATGAAAGTAATCTATATATATTATAGATACTTTTTCGTAAATTACAGAACCGCATTTCTGTATTTAAATTCAGCAAAGCTGAAGTATTCCCCAAGATCTAATATATGAAGCTATAGATCTAATTCTCTTGAAGTTCCTTCAAAATTTATTTCCCAGCTCAATATATTTGGTGTATATATTTTTGCTTAGGTTGGCAGATGCAAGGTTTTAATATTTCTATATTACTGGTGGAGGAAATGAGAAACTGAGGAATGGAGAGACTTCTCCAAGGTCATGCAGGAAACCGGTGATCATGCCCAGGAGTGAAGTTCTAAGCTCTGGTTCATGACTCCATCCACTCTGTAATGTAGTGCTGGGTAGATCTGAGGAATGTGATAAACCGGAAATTGCATTGCTAAGGCTGCTTAGATAAGATCAGCACGTGTAAGAGTCAATAATGACCATGTGGACTTCAAAAAGAGGTAGGGGAAGGGAGATAGGGATTGGGAGGGAGGGATGAGGAGGAGGAAGCGTAGAAAGTTTGGAAGGAATGAGTGAGTGATGTGTGTGTGTGTGTGTGTGTGTGTGTCTGTGTATGTGTCCTATTACTGCTTCGCAAAGTGGTTGTCAAACCAAGAGGATCTCATCTTCTATCTCAAGGATTTACGTGGTTGAAATCACCACCAAGGTAGGTCTCCCCAGTGGAGGATGGGATTCTGCTCCTAAGAAATTACAGTTTTCCCCTTGTCTTAGTTACCTAGTTCTACTGTAACAAAAAATACCACAACTGGATGGCTTTATTTTATTTTCTCATAGCTTAGGAGGCTAGAAGTCCGAGTTCAGGATGTCAGCTCTAGAGGAATGTCCTTTCTCATCTATTTCAACTTCTAGTAGCTACTGGCAATCCTTGACATTCCTGGGATTCTAGATTCATCTGCCTCCAAGTTCACATGCACATCCCCCCCACCCCTGTTCATATCTTTGGGTCTATTCTGCTCTTTTTATAAGATACAACCAAGAAGTGATTAGGTTTAGGATCCACCCTACTCCAGTATGACCTCGTTAACATAACAGAAAAATCCCTATTTCCAAGCAAGGTCATATTCACAGGTATAGGGGTTAGTACTCCAGCTTATGTTTTTGGGGGACACAATTCAATCCGTAACCCTCCTCATGTGGATCAGTGAGCCTCTACTTCCCATCCTCAGTCTGTTGTGTATAAGCAGATAACATCAAGGTCCCAGCTCCTAACCACAACTGTCCCTCCTCCTGTCTCTTCTAACCACCTTGGGAATCCTAAAGGCATCCTGTCTAGGCTTCATACTTGCAAATGTGGTGGGGCTGGGGGGTAGGGGGCATGGGAGGATGAGGAGCGGGCTGCCCAAATGTGCTGGCAGGCAGAGCCTTTATTAACTTGCAAATGCTTCCATGTTGTCAGGATTCTCAGAGCAAATGATGCTTGTTTCTGTTGTGTGAAAAATGAGTTATTATAATGAATGTATCAATCTTCCCATTGAAAGAGGTTTTCTATAGACACAATTCCTATGTAAAGTGGCTATGAATTAGGAAGACTGATTTCCACAAGCCACGGAAGAAACTCCATCTTGTTGCTTGGTGTTTGCCCTTAGCCGTGTTCACGTGACGCAGGAGAGGGCTCTGAGCCAGGGCTCCTGGCCTGGACCCCCTGGGCAGCCTGGGGCAGCTGGTGTCCACTTAGGGGACATTTCACCTTTCCCTCATGCTCTTGACTTGGGACTGAGGGAGGGAGTGTAATGGAGAACGCATGTCAAGGAGGAGAGGGCATAGCGAGGTGCTGGGTTAAGGAGAGAAGAAACTTAATAGGCATGGGATGAGGTGGCCTTTCTCTGCTTGCAGAGTAGAAGGTCCAATGGGCAAGTATGACAGGAGCAATAGGAACTAGGGGAGAGGAAGGTGTCAGGGGACCTCTGAATCTTCTTGTCAGTCCTGTTTAACGCCCACCCCAGGGCTGGCTAGATAGTAGGGTGCAAATTTCTTTAAATTTCCCCTTCACCAGCTGTTCCCTCCACAAACACATAGTCATGCTTTGTAGAAAAGCCATTCTTGTACATTTCCTCTAGGAGCAGACCTGAATCCACAACAATAACACACATTGGGGGAAGTTTCAATGAAGTGCTGTTATTGTTAACTGCCATCGAGCGGGCCCCCAACCTATATTCTCCTCCAGTGATGGATCCCTCCTGATGACGTGTCCAAAGCAAGTGAGTTGGATGATGTTCTGTTGTGATCCGCAGAGTTTTCATTGACTGATTTTCAGAAGTAGAATACCAGGCATTTCTTCCTAGTCTGTTTTAGTCTGGAAGCTCTGCTGAAACTTGTCAGCATCATAGCAGCATGCAAGCTTCCACCAACAGATGGGTGGTGGCTGCACTTGAGATGCATAGGCTGAGAATTGAACCTGGGTCTCTTGCATGGAAGGTAAGAATTCTACTACTGAACCATCACTTTTTCATTAATGAAGCGCACACACTACTTATTGTATTTACCTGTCATGGTTCCATCTTGAAATGTATATTCTGGCTAGAACTCTCTACATAAGGTCATTTTTTCATACTCTCCTTTTTGATGGTGCCTTAGGAAAGCTTCTACACTCTTCTTTTGCCATCCTTTTGTTCCTCAATATGAAGCTCAAGGAATTGGGGAGCTCCCACGAGGACCAGGTCAAGGGCGAAACAATCCCGACACCCAGATCATGTTTAAGGAGACCCACTCCTGGGTTCGTACAATGTAGGATCAGCCCTTGCATGAACCCAGCAGTGAGCATCTCTCTTAACTTTGCACCTCCCCTGTTGCCTCCACTTCTGACTTCCTCCTCTGAACTCAGGGAAGTAGCTTCTGTGGTCCCAATCCATACCATTTCAACTAATAGGTCACTCAAATACTCACAGGCTACTCTAGGGCATTTCCACCTCAGGGCTGCTCCAAGCACAGTTCTTTCGTGTCTACCCAGGAGAAGCCACATTAGGTTGTTCCCTGGCAGAAAGGACACAAAGAAAAGAACAGGCGAGAGAACTCAACTTTGCAAGATTGTTAGGGTTGGGAGCTGGGGCAGCCACCGAGAGCAGAATGCCTGGAGAAGGGAGACACAGGGGCAGGACAAACCCCTCCGGGTGTGTGCTGGATGGAGTGATATCCCGCCAAATTCATGTCTGCCAAGAACCTCCTATGTGACCTTATTTAGAAACAGGTCATCCTGGATTAGGGTGAGAACTAAATCCAATATCTAGCTTCCTTATAAGAAGGTCATGTGAAGACGCAGGGAAGAAGGCCGTGTGACATGGAGGGAGAAATTGGGGCGATGTATCTAAAGCCAAGGAAAGACAAGGATCTCTGACAAACACCAGAAGCTAAAAGAGGCAAGGAAGAGTCCTCCCTTAGAAACTTCGGAGAGAGGACGGCCCTGCCGACACCATGAATATCGACTTCCGGCCTCCGGGACAGTGAGACAATAACTTTTTGTTGTTTTAAGCCACTGGTTTGTAACACTTTATTAGGACAGCCACAGAAAAGCATTATAGGGCATGACATGAGAGAGAGAGAGAGAAAGAAAACTTGAGCTGTGGAGTAGAGAGGGAAGTGGAGGGGTTGAAATAAATAAAATAAAATTAAAAAA